AGTAACAAAGAAATCTATAAGTAAAAGAGTAAACGTTTTTTTTTTTTTTTGAAAAAAAGAAGAAAGTATAATAAAATAAATAGATGATAAATCTACAACTATAAATTTTTTTTCACAAGTTTTTTTTTTTTAGGATTATTTAATTCAAAATATAACTCAAATCCATTCGGTTTTGGATGACATTTCTTAAAAAATCAAAAATATATATAGTTAGTCATATTTCATATTATCAAGGTTTTGCCTCTATAAGCATTAAGTTTAATTATATGGGAAAAGATCATCGGGTTTACTTACTGTTGAATAAACGGGTTATAATAATTACTGAAAAGTTCATCATACCTAAATTTTATTTAGTATTAATAAAGATAAAATAAAAAAGATTTGATATACAGTTACTTATTATTTGAACGAAGAAAAGAATATATTACTTTATTTTGCAATTTGTAGCTGTTCTTTCGGAAGATTTTTTAAAAGACTTTGCCGCAAGTTCAGAAGCGATTAATTTCCAATCTTTTTTACCATGTTCGTTTACTATTTCAAAAAGTAGCATTTCCTCCTATAAAAAATTAAAGCATTATATGATTAAGTTTTAAAATTCTAAATAATAAAGTTAAATCTTTTAAACGAATATATACATATAAAGGCCATGTATTTTCTTGATGGTTTTCCATATAAGGGGATTTAAAATTTTTTTTTTTTATTGTTTAAAAAAAAAGAATCATTGGGTTTTTAAATAAATCTTTTACATTCAGTTATTTAAAGACATAAAAAGTAAAGCTCAACAAAAAAAAAAAAAGGAGGGAAAAATTTTTTATTATTATAATTATAAATTCATGTTATCAAACAAGAAATTTGAACGTTTAAAATAAATATTTGATAATCTTTTTTTTTTTTACTTTAAATTCGTTCCCACGAAAATTCTACAATTTAAAGTTTATTTAATCGAGCGATCAATCATATAATTACACAAAATTAATTAAATTTTTTTTTTCTTTATAATAAAAAGTAAATGGTTGTTATCTTTATCTATTCAAGTATATTCAACCTGATAAGATTAAAGTATTTTGAATGAATATCGTAACATGAGATAACCATTGGGGTCACTTTTATTTTTAAGTAGGTCGACCATCAAACGAAAAAAAAAAAAGTGCGATCAATGATTTATCGTCATCTGCACTATACTATATTTAGTTAGTAATATTATACCGGTTTTTCAACAGGATATATTAGAAAAAAAAATGACGTTTAAAATTGGGCTGGAAATTTAAAATTTCTATTTTCTAGAAACAAAATAATAATAATTTGAAATTTTATGAATAAATTATTATTTATATTATGGTAAAATATGGGTTTAAACTGATTCCGTGCCGGTAATCCTTAAGGGAAAATTCTTCCGTTAATGTTACGAGAAATACTGATCAATTCTTCGATTTATAATTAATTAAGTTGCACAACCAATTTTTAATTGATTAAAATGGTTCGATAAAATAGGTAAAATCATACTAATGCTATATATGTTATTTGTATCACATAATACTATAACAATGGTCTCATGGTCTAATCCAAATTAAGTGAAAAAGATAAAGTCTGTTCTGCATAAGGATAAATTTATATGTTGTGTATTTGTTGTAAGAAGGCAAACTCAATAATCAAATTACGGATATTGTCAAAGAGATCTAGTAGCTAATAAAAATAATACAGGATTTATTTATCGTTATTGATAATATTAAAATTAGGTTTGTTGGATCTGTAATCAAGTTAATTCGGATTTATCGGACATTTCCCGTACCAATTATATTCCAATTTCTTAATTTGAACTAGCTCGATTATTATAATTATAATGTTAATTCTCGCCAAATATTATAATTTCTACCAGTTTTGAGATTGAATGCCTTATATCGTAGTGGCATATGGAATCAGATCGAACCCTTAATTTTAATTCGTAATACCGTTTTCATTCGAACTTTATGAAGTCAATAAAGAAAATTCTTCTCCCCAGACTTGTGATGCAATTTCTTTCACAATTCAATTATGAAAACCCTCCAATACTTTTGTGTAACATATATTATATTAAGTTCACGAAGTAACGATGTAATATGAAGTATTACTCGCGTATTCTTACTATATTGATTGTTATATGCTCCACAATGTATATCAACTTATTGTCCGGAGCGAAGCGAAGGACTATATATATATGTCTACGCATTATGAAAATGATCGATCACGTGAGTTTCTCTGTCCTTCACGTGACTCCATCCAATGAATTTTTTCGCACAACGGTTTCCGTTTCCTAGTTAATACAAAATATAATACTAGTTATGAAATACGATTATTTATTTAGAACTAGAATGCGAAACTTGTAATCTTGAAAGGAAACAGGCTACGCTTAATTATGTTAAGCAAGATCCAGTATACGACATTACAAGATATTGTCCATTAGTTTATTTCTCTAGATTAAGAAAAAATATTAGAAGTCTTAATAGATAATTCAGGAAATTGAAGAATGCAAATTGAGATTATAAAGTAAAATTTTTGTAAGTGTACATATATATTGTAGATCTTTAATAAGATTGCATCGGACTCTTTTAAGTACTGTATCTTATTAGTGGTATTGGGTAATTACTATAAGGTAACAAAAGATCAAATTTTGAATCATGAAATATTTCATCGATATAAACACCTGATCATACTATGTTCTTTTCAAATGTTGCACTAAATTATCAGGCAGATTAGCATCAAATAAAGGATTTTGTAGATTTATTACGTAACTTTATGAACAGAAATGATTCGTTTGTAATTGATGAAGACATTGTATTCTAACGTATCAGGATTTCAGGTAATACAATAATAGATAATTTTGGCCGGTATATTACAGGGAGGTTTGGGGCAGGACGACTTGGAGTATTAAAACAGCACTGGAAATTTGCTCTGATTATGTTACTTAATCATATAGAGAAAGTAGCCGAAAAAGGACATATTGAATCAATATATAATCTTGGAATTGGTTATCGATATGGAATAGGAACTGAAACAAATGTACTTAAATCATATAACAAAGCAGCAGAGAAATCTAAGATTATGTAAATTAACATTATCCAGAACATTAATAAGTTATATTAAATACGGCTCAAACCAATTAATCAGTTATTCTAATCCATTTAAATTTAAAATATAAATCTGATATTCAAAACTGGGTTTAACCTCTAATTTAGAATAAAAACTGAGAGAACAAATAATATATATTATCGATATTATTTATAAGTCAGACAGAACCAAAATGTATTGGTGCGTGGTAAAATAAAAAGTGGTTAATAAAGTTATTTAATAAAATTTGTTAAATTGTAATAAAAGTAAAATTTTTAGTGGCAGCGTAAACTATATAGAATACGGAAATGTAATGAAATAATGGAATATTTAACAATTTCAGTAGAATTTTAAATATAAATCCTTGTGAATGATGGAAACATCGTAAAACGCAATTTTAGAAAAAATGTTCTGATTAGATATTTTTTTTATTTGTTTTACTGTTTTCATCTTCACTTAGTGCTTAATGTAATATTTTTTTTTTTTTGCATATAATTAATAAAATAAATTTTAACGTTTAAACATAATATACGTTTTTTTAAAAAATATAAATCATTAATTTATCACGCTTGTTATACGATCGGATCTGGAAATTTGATGTAAAATTAAGAAAAAATAAATGGTAAGTATAAGCGTAATCCATGTAATTCACTAATTTCTATCAATGAATCATAAAATAATTGCATAACTAGATTATATAATAATTTCTCTACTGTATGTCACGAAAAAATAACAATTTTCTCTGAGTTAGTAACGCTTGAGCAATATTTTCCGTTGAATTAAGTTAATAAATCACATTAGTTTAAATCCTTAATAAAACCAACTAAACACATCTAAACCCTTAGCTAAACTTTGAGTCTTTCTCACTAAATTAAAAGTCTGGTGAACTGTTAAAACCAAAAGGTAAACCATTTTTTAACTTAATAATTTGTGTAACCGAAAAATTGTTACCATTTTAATTAGAAACTGCGAACTATTATAATTTCTAAAATTGATCTGATGTAATAACAAAGAATGAGTCTATATATTTGATTAGATTATCATAAGTATTGATATTCCTTTCTCCTCATTCTTTTTCTTCTAATTCATAAAGGAAACGGTACAACCAACTCCTCCCACTGCCTCCACATGCGTTACGCATTTCCAAATTTATGGAAAAATGCTTGAAGATCACACAACCAATTCCAAATTAAGCGAAAAAGTTGAAAATCATCACATCAAAAGTATACTATCGCGAATTTTGCCGGTTCTGTAGATTGTCCGAATTTCCTTTTTCTTACTAGTAAAAATTGGCCCCGCATAATTATTCATAGAGCTATTCCTTTTGTGTATTCAATTTTTTCAGCCCATTTTTAAATTAGCTATATATTATGGTTAATTAACCAAATTGACAGGTTAATTAACCAGTTTTCGGAAATTCTCAATCCTATATAATATATATGAAATTTCCTTTTTTTTACTAGTGGAAATTGAATAAAAGATAAATTTCTATATAAATCATTCTTCCCTTCGTAACTTTTTTTCTTTTATTTTGTTTCTTTTTATCTTTCCTTAGGATTGAAATATTTTTTTTTCTAAACGATAAACCATACCAAATGGTAAGAAAAAAAGGTCCCGTTTGGGAACATTTTCAAATAATTGACAATAAAGACAACCGACATCCTCACGTACAATGTAAACACTGCTCTAAGGACTTTCAACGAGCTGTTCCCGAAAGAATGCAGGCCCATCTTAACAAAAAGTGCCCAAAAGCACCGAATCATGTAAAATCACAAACTAAACAACAAAATACTACATCTAAAATTAATAATATTGAACACATGAGCGAAGAAGAACAAAAATCTCTTGGTTTATTACTGGCTAAAGCATTAACTTCATCCTCTAAGTTAACTATAGAAGAAGTAAAAATGCAAACGGATGATAATGAACAATTGCTTTATCCAAGTGATATACGTCATCTTGGTTATTGTTACCAACGTGGGATAGGAACTGAAAAAAATGAAAAAAAAGCATTTGAATTATATAAAGAAGCAGCTAAGAGAGGAAATATTACTACAATAAATGATCTTGCATATTGTTATGAATATGGAATAGGAACTGAAAAAGATAAAATTAGAGCATTTGAATTATATAAAGAAGCAGCTGAGAAAGGAAATATTGACGCAATAAATAATCTTGGAAAATGTTGTCAAAATGGAATAGGAACTGAAAAAGATGAAGTTAGGGCATTTGAATTATATGGAGAAGCGGCTGGAAAAGGTGTTATTAATGCAATCAATAATCTAGGATATTGTTATCAAAATGGGGTAGGAACTGAAAAAAATGAAATTAGAGCATTTGATTTATATAAAGAAGCAGCTGAAAAAGGAGATATTTATGCAATCAATAATCTTGGGAATTGCTACTATTGTGGAACAGGAACTGAAAAAGATGAGATTAAAGCATTTGAATTATATAGAGAAGCAGCTGAAAAAGGAGATATTTATGCAGTAAATAATTTTGGGGATTGTTACTATTATGGAATAGGAACTGAAAAAGATGAAATTAAATCATATGAATTATATAAAGAAGCAGCTGAAAAAGGAGTTATTGATGCAATTAATAATCTTGCAGTTTGTTATGAATATGGAACAGGAATTGAAAAAGATGAAGCTAGAGCATTTGAATTATATAAAAAAGCAGCTGAAAAAGGAGATATTGATGCAATAAATAATCTTGGAAAATGTTATCAAAATGGAACTGAAAAAAAATGAAATAGAGCATTTGAATTATATGAAGCAGCAATTGAAAGAAGTCATATCTATTCAATATTTTGTCCAGGATATTGTTATCAATATTGACTTGGAACTGGTAAAAATAAAATCAAAGCATTTGAAATTTTGAATTATATAAAGAATATGAGGGTAGATTGTAGAATTTTCGTTTATTATTCTGGAATTAATTTATCGATGATAAAATAATTTAAATTTGATACATTACTATTGAAGAAGTATTACGATAGAGAAGATTAAAATATTAATGATTTATGTAGATCGAGACTCAAGTACGATTCTTAATTTCATTAGAGGATTATTTGAAAGAACTCAAAATTTCTAGTGGAGGATGTTGTTGGAAACGGATGAACTTTAATGTATTGATTAACGCTTTAAATTGTCAATTGTTTTTAGTTATTTTTGTATTAAGTACTCATAGCTTATAGTTTTATAAACTTTTAAGTAGATTATCGTTTATTTTTTTATTCTAAGTTTATAGGTAGATATTGTATGATGGTTACTCTCAATTTCATATGCATTGTTATACTTTAATATTTAATTTTATTATTAAAGGTCATTTAAAATTAGGCTTGATATAAATTTATAAAATGCATTATCATAAAATTTTAATTATATGTTTAATACGACATTGATTATTCGGTTTGAACTTGTAATTATAAGTTCTATATAATTGTTGTAACTGAAATTGAAATTTGACTGAATTTAAAATTCAGATACGGGAATTTCTGGGAAAGCCGATTGAAATTTAAATTCAGATATGATCTTCAAGTATCTGAATTTAAATTTCAGTTAAATTGGGATTTCAGATATGAGGTTAACTGAAATTAAAATGTCTAAATTTCAAATTCAGATACAATTGGAATTTCAGATACAAAGTTGTCTGAAATTAAAATATCTGAATTTCAAATTCAGATAAAATTGGAATTTCAGATATGAGGTTAACTGAAATTAGAATGTCTGAATTTCAATTCAGATAAAATTGGAATTTCAGTTACGGGGTTATCTGAAATTAAGATGTCTGAATTTTAATTTCAGATAAAATTTCAATGTCTGAATTTAAAATTCAGTCAACTTTTCCAGAAATTCCCATATCTGAATTTTAAATTCAGTTAAATTTCAATTTCAGTCACAACATAATAGTCTATAATGCTTATCGTTATTAACCTCAATAATTTTACAGTAATCATTAAAAACATTAAATTGATAACGATGAACCATATAGTGTGAAATAATATCCTTGTGTCGTTACGAAAGAAATTCTGAATTTTGTTCGGAGTATCCTGTCTTGTTTCGGACAATTGTTTGATTGTTTCCAATATTTTTATGTGAAGTTGCATAAATTTTGGCGCTTAAATTTCGGATTTGTGAGGCTTATAGGTACTATAACTTTTAATAATTTTTTGAAAAAGAATTTTTATATTACAACGCGAAATCACTACTTTACTTTTGAGGTTATAATAAATATAATTATTCGTATTAAAATGTTTTAAGCTGTTGAAAATCATGAAATAAATTAATAAATATTTTAAACAGCATTATCTTGACATGCATATTTTTTAATGTTTACTTAAAATAAGTGAAGGAAGTCCGAATGAATACTCCAGTGAAACGATAAAGTTTGTTCAGTGGAAATATTTTAGGAGTTTGACGTACTGTACGTTGAAGAAAATTTCGGCCAATCATTGAAGAAATTATACTGGATTAAAAATTTAGAAATTACAGAAAACATAAAAATTAAATGTTGACAATCTTGCGTATTAATTGGTAAGAGCGAATTAGGCATTTGTAAAAAAATTTGGTATCATTGATCCGATCTTGATAATTTTTTTTATGTAACCGATTCGTTAGGTCAACATTATAACAAAATATACCTAATCTATAAATCTATAACTATTAAAATTGGAACATAACTTCACACATCAACAGGATCACCTCTTTTCTTTAATCCGATTCTTCACCAATCGACCTTTACTTAGGCTATAGAACGAAGTTTACGTTGTTAAATCCTGCGGCTGCCGTATTTTCATCACTGTTAGTAATTAACCATAGTACGTTTTTGATGTATACAAATTGATCTCAAATTTTCTAAGACGTATCCATGATGTCTTTAATGGATTACAGTCGTAACGAAATTTGTAATTAATAATGAATGGGGATCCATTTTTTTTATAACATAAATGTTGTCTCACGATTTCAAATAATACATACGTACATAAATAGAATGTATAAAATAAATATAAAAAGAAAAAAGAAAAAAAAAGAAACAAGTCAAAACTTTAAAATGAAAAAATCTATCTAAATATATCTATCAATCTTAACGTTATTTAAAAACCCTTTGTTAATTTTTTAAAGCTGCTATCTTTAAATATCGTAAACTTTTCTCTTTATCCCTATTTAAACCAACCATACCAGCATAAATACATTCTACCTAAATAAATTGTGCTATAGCATTAAATATTGTAAGAAAGCATCAGTATCTTTAATAATTTGATCATGATAAAGGGAAAAAGCGTAACGTAATTGTGAATCTGCTGCTTCTTCATCTTTAGTCACCGGATTTATGTAATTTTATACCTTCTAACAACAATAATGGTTGAATCATTGGTAAAATAACCGTGGCTTCTGATATAGGATCATCATTATCTCCATCTATGATAATGTTGTTGTTGTTGTTATTATCTAAATTACTACTGCTCGGTTTTTTGTCCAAATCTGTTCATTTTCTTGTAATAAATTTTCTAGTTGGTGGTGTAAATTCTTTTAAAGGACATTTGCGTTAAAGTGTATAGTGATTAAACAATTCATGAAGTCTTGGTCGAAGTATTGGATCATTTTGCCACGCTATTTAAATTTAAAAAATAAAATTTTATTAATACTGCAGAAATTTAACAAGTTAAGAAAGGCTTACTTTATGAATAATAATTTATCTCACCAGCTCGAATTATCTTTGTAAAATCTTTTTGAACTTCAGATGGATTTCACGTTTACCAGCCTTAATACGATCAATAATGTTCGTATAATTCCAATTTCTATATGGAATTACATCAAACGCTATCTTCCACAAAAGCATACTAAAGCTAAACATAAAAAAATAAATATATGTAAGATTAATTTTATCACATTGGTCGAACACACTTTTTCAAGGAATGAACAGAACAAACCTGAAAATATCGCATTTTGATGAAAATTTTACTTTTGTTCCCTGCCTTAATTTTCAGGCGCTGACCCAATGAACCACCGCTGTTATACTTCAGCAAAGTATCTACCATACTTCGCGGATCCTCCGAAATTAAAGCTAGCTACCTTTGGTTCAAGTCTTTCATTGATCTAAAAAAAAAAATTAATTTAAAAAAATATTCGTAAAAGAAAAAAAAATCCACTTTAATTCTCGCTTACCATAATATTTTGACATCATTAATCTCTTTATTAAGAATTTGACAACCATGTAAAAATGATAGCCTAAGACAAATTCCTAAAGCAAAAATTTAATTTTACAGGCTAATCAAAAGTATATTTTTCATATAAAGATTGTAAATATCCCAATCAAAATAATCAAAATCAATACTTGACCTACATCTAAATCTGATAATCCTAATCTTATAATATTATCCGAACTATTTAATAATTGTAAAATCGTTATTCATTATCGAACCTTGATGATTTTTCTGGTTACCCGCTACGAATTTTGATTCATAAAATATTCTCCCCTTATTATTATTATTGTTTAAAGTATTAATTATTATCATAACTTTTGTATCAAGTTTTGTCGCCTTTTTTGATTGAAATTTGACTTTTTTGAATTTGTGATCTTTTGACAATTATTTCATCATAATGGATTAATTTCTTTATCCAATGTCGTAATCCACACCATCAACATTTTCTAAAAACTAGAGAAACAAATAAGTTAAAATATTTCTTTCGTCAAATAATTATAAAAGTAAATTAAAATGATAATAAATTTGCTAAATTTCATACTTTAGCTAATATGGCAGTCTCATCATCCCTTACGCCTTGATCTTTTTGAATAAGTCACTTTTAAACGTAAATCAATTACAACAATATCATGAAATTTTTTAATAATACTTTTAAAATATTCTTTCAATTTTTCAACACTATTAAATCATGAAGTTGTAAAATATCAGTAATAAATTGACGTATCCTTTCAATAAATCAATAAAATAATGATAACCATAATAAATATTTTGTTATAAAAAATATCCAACGTTTTCCTCTTTATGTCTTTTTAAAGATTTTTAATAGACATTTCAGTACTTTCTACTCTATCAATTAAACTATCACAAATTTTTTGTTAAATTGAGTAGTTTCATATAATTCTAAACTATTTTTAATTAAATCAAGAATATTTGATATCAAAAACATTGAAGATTATCAATAACAGCAATATTTCTAATCTATCTCTCCTTTCCTCGAACGTCGCTCCATTAAATAAATAAAAAAATCTATGAAAAAAAAGAACGTTCTTGTGAATTTACGTATAAATAGTCTATAAAATATTTGTCGAAAGTAAAATAATATTGTATAGTAACAATAAAAAGGAAAATGAGTGAACGGAAATGTGTAATAGAAGAGATTAATTTAATTTTTTTTAAATGAAACTCACCTGGAATTTATTATACAATAACCTTTTTATATATATCGATAGAAAAGCAGACATCAAACATCAAATAAAAAGAAATTTTAACCATTTACGCTACTGCTCATATGCTGTTTGTCGACGCACTGTCACGGGAACACCATAATCACATGCTATCTCATTGATGCTGCGGTTAATATGCAAATACAATAAATATGCAAATACTGTATATACTGCGGTATAAAAAAACTAAATTTTTAGTATATAGCACATTAATTTTAATGTTATCGCAAGAGAAATTAATAGCTATAAAAAATATGCAGCATGTTTTAAACAATTTTTTTTTTTTTATTAAAAAATTCTTGTTTTTTTTTTGTAAAAATGAGTTTAAATGATATTTTTCAATTTTTTTTAAACTTCATTTACAAAAAATTATTTTCAAATATTTTTCTTGATGTTACTCTTGAAAAGGCAACTCACAGTAGTTGGAAGATATAAGCTAACCAGCTTTTCAGTGCTCATCAAATACGACAGTATTAAGTATTAACATCATTTCTCTATCTAACTTTAAATTTTTGATGCTTATATAATACATATAATACATATGTAATAATATACTTAACGAAAAATTATTTTATTACATTTTTTTATTTTGTAGCATTCTTCCAGTACCGTATTGCGGGGCCATAGTCCTTGACCCTTATACCCCCTTCTATTGCGCAAGTTTTTACTATTGATGGAGGAAGTTTAAAACTTACATAACAGTTGTGTTTATATACATGGATGTTTATTATATTATTTAGATAACAAGACCGTTAGAAAATGAGAATTATTTTTTTGCAGGGTATTGTACATGGGGGGAGAAAGATGATGAAATTGACAAATAAAGCCATCATAAAAATTGATAATTTCATTAAATAAAACTGTCATAAAAATATGGAAATTAATTAAATTAATTGAAAAAAAATTTTTTATTACCGTGTATTACTATTTAAATACAAAATAGCAGTACTGTGGCTCGCAAAATACGGTATTTCATTATTTATAAACTGGTTGTAACAGGTAACCCTGAACAAAGCTTGCCACCTCTACGTGGTGTTCAGGAGAAACAGTTATAGGTTAATTATATCTAGCTGAGGGCAAGCACTGTCTCTTATACACATCTAGATGTGTATAAGAGACAGGTTATAGGTTAATTATATCTGGCTGAGGGCAAGCATTCATAAATTTCAAACTGATTAATTTATTTAATTTATCATAAAAGAAAAGAGATAGTTACGAAAAAATGTTTACAAAATTAATTTAACTAATCCATTATTACTAAAGTTTTTTTTTTTTTTTAAGCTTATAATGAAAATTTTACACATAAATTAGGATTATACAAATACGTGATCTACTTTTAATGCAGTTTCCAATAGCTGACGAAAATTCACTCTAGCCAAAGTTCTTTATGTTGCAAATTATATAATTGAACAAGGGCTTGACTATACGATTTATTCACTCAACCTCACATTGCCCAATAGTTCTAGCTTTAATGAGAGAGAGATAATTATTTAATTTTATTGATGATTTGTCTGTATATCATATTTTGATATATAGTAAGCAGCGTATGTTTTGACCGTAGATTTATGCACAGTAACTCAAATATATTATTTTAATAAATTTTTTTTTCCATTGTAATGTTTTGTAATATTTGATATCATTTTGACTAAGATTTTCATCAACTGCTGCATGACAATTTATATGAAGGATCGAAGAGTAAATAAAACTCATAAATTAAAGATAAAGATATACGTGCGTATCACTTTATTCGATTGATTTTTCAGACTATAAAATTTAACTATTTCAATTAATCATTTATGGACCCTATTAAAGTATTATGTCACGCTTCGGACATTCTAACGGTCCTGTTTCCCGGCTATAACAATAATTTATTTATAACATTCATAATTATATTCGTTAATTCGATAATTTTAATAATTTATTAATAATATCATAATCATAATAAAATTATTACTTTTTTTTATTTTGGTTTTAAAATAATTTTGTTTGACAAAATTGATGTAACCGCGCAAACGTGCAACAATAACAAATCGGCATACAAAATTCTGAAAATATCAATGAATGGTTTTTTTTTTTTAAAAAAAATTAATAATTATTGTACGTGTATTTCTTTTTTTTTTTCAATCTAATTTTTTTTTTTTGCTCACAATGGATACAGTGGATTTTTTTGTCTTATTTGATGGTCAATTTCACATGTTCAAACAAGTTGAACAATTACATTTGGTATTTATATCTCTGCAAAAAAAAAACCATTATTAATTAATATAACTAACTTTTAATATTGTCATCAGTATTCCTCATTCTTAAATGTCCCTGAAGTAGACAGTTTTATTTATTCAGAAAAGTATCAATTTAATTATACAAAACCGGTAGCAACATCTTTTATCACGGTTCTCAATGATGCGTTGAAATGCTTGGCAGAATATACTAGCAATATACCTTCAACAATTCTTGATACGTTGCAATTTATTTTTGATATGGATTGTCGCGAATTTGATCTAAAGGACAATCCTAAGACTTTATCGTGCGCATACCAAAGATAAAATAGATGAAAATTGGATTCATGAACTTACTAATATGCTCAACAATTTAATCAAGTACAGACAGAATGAGGTATCAATAGTATGACAAACAAATTCTTTTTGTATGGGTTACCATTCTACTAACTAATTTCAAATTATTTCTTTTTAAAGGGTCATGCTTCTAAATATTGGCCGATCGCAGTGTTTCTATTGGCTTTTTTTTATACTTTTTACTATTTGGAAAAAACCTATACACAAGACGGATATAATCCTTTGACTAATGACCAAATAGATAGGTTTGAGGCATATCTTAAACAATTAAGTGAAAATTTGAATGAAATCTACGAAATTTTGGAGAAAAAACAAACAGAAGACTTTATTGGTAAAAAAAAAAAAAATTTTCAACAAAAATAAAAAATATTTTGTTTAACATTATAAATTAGCTCTAACATCGGGATTCTCCAAGGTCACTTAGAAAATAAATTTGTACCATTTTTGAAGAAATAAATGGTTTATTAGAAACCCAATTAGAAGAATTAAATAATAAAAATGATAGAGAAACGTTTAAAGCCGTTGGATATGCAATAGGGTAGGCTGTTCACTGTATTTGATTATTTTTTATATGTATTCAAAATTGATTGACCAATTTCTTGAAAATTTCTTTTCTCCAGCACTTTATCTTCCATTATTGCAACATTTAATTCAGTTAGTTGGAAGGTATGTATAGTAATAACTTGACACATGAAATTTGAATAATTTTTATTTAAACAAACAAACGATTTTAATTTCAGAAAATTGCTGGTGTTATTTCTGGTGGAATATTTGGTGAAAAGACGTTAAATAAAATTACCAATATACAAAGTTATTGGTGAACATAAAAAAGTCCAAAAAACTAAAATATGATAAGTTGGCCGACTCAGAAATTCCATTCATTCTTTACCAATTTGAAAGATTTCATAGTAAAGTCAAAAAATTTCAAACGAAAATCGTAAAATTTAAACAATAATTATTTATTTATTTATGTATTTCGGTTTGTTTTACTTATTTTTATTACCATTTATTTTAATTGTTTATAAATATATATATATATTTTTTTTTAGTATTTAAACTTTTATTTTATTATGAAACATGTACTTTATATTCTAATATAAGAATTGTATAAATAAGTTTTAACAAAATAATTTCTCATTCTCTCGTAATAAAAATCGATGAATAATTTAGCTATAAATAATTTGTTAAATTTAAGTCGTAGTATTTATTTATTTTATGTCAAGCAGGCAGCTTTCTAAGAATTACTATTTTACAATGAAACAAAGTATAGTTTTACATCAGTACGGCTATCATCTAGTAAGAAACTAGACCCTCACTTATAAAAAAAAACCCTCCTACTCTCTACCACGATCACCAAAGAATAACAACAAAAGAAAAAATAAGACCGGGAACTCTATAAAAAAGAAAATAAAAAAATTGTTGTATATGTAGTTGTAAAATTTTTACAAGATGTAGGTGACTAGACATGTGAAATAAAATGGTCGTCTATTCTATGGTGATGATCAATAATATTCGCATCTACAATGATTATAAAAAGGTCCACTGTGTAAAAAATTTGACAAGGAAAATAATATAAAAAGTAAATCTGTATGATTCTTATAATTCCTAAAATCAAAATGTGAATTAACATATTCCCTAGTAGTTCGATGACGTACTTCACGTCTTAACATAAATTCATCAGAACTTGTTTGTTGATTATTACGATGAAAATTCTTAGTGTAATTTTTAAAATCATTTTTAGTAAGCCCATTCGCTGATTTCCAATCTTTCCATATATTGGAACGTACTTTCCAAATATTTGATTTAATTGCATTACTACAATCATGGAGAAAGGGGAAAAGAAGACGTTCAATGTTCTTTTTTTGTTGATGTGGATACTGAAGATATCGTATAAATCGGTGACATAAGAACGTAATAGTAAAAGTACACTTTGATGAATAGATTCATTATGAAAAGCCCATCTGAACGTTGGTGAATATTTGACACTATTGGTTATACAGAGTGATGATTTATCAGCTGATTCTTGTAAAATCTTGATTAACGATGAGGGAAAGTATCTCAGATATTGATGTACGGTGCTGGACAAATCCAGATATGATTATTTGTTTCAACGTTAGATTTACAAAGTAAACATAACGTTAGATCATTGAGAAGTTTAGGAAAGTTGCGATTAAGTATATCAAGCATGGGTAAGCTCAATGTGGAACATTTAATTTTCCAAGCTATGTCTTTAGTGTGTTGCACTTGTGGTGGTTTCATGTCTGTTATAATTGAACCATTTGCTGGTACATGACCAATTAATAATATGGCTTCTTTGATTTCAGATAAGGAAGGATGATTAAAGTGATCTTCTATTCTTTTGTAATTAGAGATCATTCCGATACATTTGCGAATGTCTTTATCGATTGAGATATAAGCTTGACCGTTTGTGATGGTAAATGTTGATGTTTAATACTCGTAGGAATCTGATGAAGTCTACCAGCTTTGGCTTGCGCGTCTGCTATATCGTTAAAAGTGTTATTAGAGTGGGCTTTGACCTTATGTAATGTGATGTTGAGTTTTAATTTGTCAATAATATGGACCAAAGGATATTATTATTGATTTTGTTGAAGCGTCTTGGTGAAATAAAAATTAAGTTTGAAGATTTGTGAAAGGTATCACTCAATAGCAGCTTGTGAGTCTGTGTAAATGTTGGACTATGAAACATTGGTTTGATCATCATTCTTGATTTTGATTTTTTGTTCATTCTTATTGTGGTCTGATACGATGTGGCCCCATTATTATTGACTATAACCTAGAAAGGTACTGTACATTAGGATTAATAACCTTATATAAATAATGTCTGCACAATTGATCGCCTGCTTACTCGAATTATGTTCAGGACTTGATAGCACTGCAGGGCAGTACCCCATGATGTGGAACCCCTTGGAAGCTCAAACTCTCCTATTAATATCATGCGGTAGATCCCTTCGAACAGAAACAAGTAACTCCTTCAAAGATCAAGAATATTTCAATTGGAGAATGTATTCATTGTCATCAAAATAAACCAGTCAAATTAGAAGAATGTCTTCAATGCTATCAACAAAAGAAAACTTGCTTAGCACCTTCAGGACAAATGAACAATAATGAAAAAGAACAAATAAATGAAAAGGAAGCAACTCTAGCATCTTCAGAACAATTGAACAATAATGAAGAAGCACCTCTAGTACTTTCAGAACAAATGAACAATAATGAAAAAGCTAAAAATATTGGAGAATGTATCCATTGTTATCAGGAAAAATATATTAAATTAGGGGAATGTTACAAATGTCATCAAAAAAGAAGTAATAAATTTTATAGTAACAAAAAGGAATGCCCTGAATGTAAAAAAAGAATTACAGTAATGAATAGGATGATAAATGACAAAATTTGCACTAGATGTCATACAAAGTATCAAAGAAGATTTGATAATTTTAATAATCAAGTAACATGTAAAACATGTAATGAACAAAACCAAAAAGGAGAAATGTATAATGAAAATGGACAATGGTTCTGTTCATTAGATTGCATGTATGCAAAAAAGATATTAGATGAAATTGGAAACATGAAAAATATTGATAAGGAAAAAATTAACATTCTAGTGAATAGATTTACAAGTACTAATAAGAATGCGGGCTCAACATACAATCTTACTTCAAATATGATTATGGAAAAAATAGAAGTAAATATGAAACAAAACAAATCAAACGTAAAGAATGTATTTGATGAAATAAAGAAGATACCTGATTATACAATAATGTACAATTTATAATAGCATATTATTATAAAATTTAATTATAGGACGAAGATTGGTGATTTGGTTATAATTATAGAAAAATTTCTTGTATAAACATTTTGAGAAAGAGGAGAGAAATTTCTTATAAAAACAAATTAAACAAATAACGAAATATTATATACATAGAATAATTTCTCATTTATAATAATGATTTGATTATAACTATATATATTATACTGTATATACTTGTTTATAATTATTTATAGTTTTTAATTGTTAAAATTAGCTTTTACTATGAATTACCTGGATAAATCAATTTACAGTATGATTAAATATAATTCGAATACCAATATTCATCCAGTTTTTGAACATTATTTGTCTGGTTTAAAGCTCCGAACGGTTCCGGTTTGAACCGGGAACCGATCCGGAACCGGCAAAAAATTCGGTTCGGTTCTCGGTTCGGTTTTGGACTTGGAACCGTCCGGTTCGGTTCAGTTCTATCCAAAATTAAGAAAAATTCGAAAAAATGAATACACGACCATCCAGTGATCGTACAAGGACGAGCCATAGCTCGTTGGAATCCTCTCATCGAGACGCGTCGAATGGTGGTAAAATCAAGTCTCTAGCATCGATAGATCACGAGATAGCACATGGTGAGTGTTTCTTAAAAAATTTGCATTAGAAAACGATCCATTGATGCTAGAGATATGAATTTATCTCTTATACACATCTT